AAGAAAGCAAATGAATGGATGATTTTGTTCATATGTGGGATGTAAGGAAATAAAGCAAAGGAAGAGGGAAAAAAAACAACTCACAATAACTCTTGAAATCTAACTACAGAACTTAAGGCTACCTGAGGGGGAAGGTGGAGAGTGGGGCATAAAGTGGGGGGAGGCTCCATGGATTGGTGGAAGATTATTTGTAATTTCAAGGTTGATGACGTATGATTACAAACATTTGCAGAAGTATGAACCTCTACTCCTAAAACTTACACAGTGTTGTAAACCAATGTTACTTCAGTGACATAATTAAATATAAAAAAGATAAAATTACTCAAATTTGTCATGGCTGCCATGTTTTTGACTTTCACAGTATCTGGGATATATACGTATTCAACTATTCCTGTCAAAAATACAATCTCCAAATGATATATTTTGCTTTCATTTATACTTAATTCATCAAAATATGCTTTCATGGTATCTCTTTGGTATTCATAATGGCTTTTCAGTAAGTCATGGAAAGTTCCCACTTTGAATGGGGACATGACACTTTGCCAACAGTTCATCCAACATAGTTAACTTTCTCAGAATCCATAAGAAGGTTAAAAATGAAAGAACTTTCCACCATTAACCCAATGTGATCAGAGACTTTTCACTAGTCATGAATGCCAGAGTCAAGCTCCCACTCAGGGTGACTGTGACTCAGAATACAACGTGTAGGCGTTTTTAATTGAGCTGATGGAAATGGTTGACAGGGTAATAGTTGTAATTGTTCACCATTTCACATAGAAAAGAATTTGCTCAGTAAATAGGAGGCTTTGTTTCCAACCTAATTTAATGGAAACACAGAAGGTACAAGAAAGTAATGTGCCAACTGACACTGGGTGTAAAATAAGGCATTTTAGAGACTTTTGTGCAAATGTCCATCAGCTGACATCTGTCAAAGCAAACGTCTGGGATGGCTTCAGAGCATATGCGTTTGCCAGCAGCAAACATTTAGTGAGCTTCGTTCTCTGAGGAATAGAGTTGGTTTGTTTTTGTAATGTGAGCATTTGAAATAATCCACTTTCTCCAAAAACCCCAAACTACTACAAAAACACCATGCAGCCTGGTTATACAGTAAAAGGAACAGACTTTGATGCATATGGATGGCAATGCTTAGACTAATTGAGAGGCTACAGGAGTGAAAGAAAGGAGACTCGCGTGACAGCTTGTTTTATTGTAGCCTGGGTAAAGGCTTTAAGGCCTAAAGAATATTACTTCCATCAAATACATAAACTTAAATGGGCTCCAAGCTGCCTGCCCTTACACTCCACTAAAGCATCTTGTGTGTTTATACTTCTGTTGTCTGGCCTGATTTCCATTTCAATTTCTGTAAGTATCATAAAGTCTCACGGAACATAAAACTACAAAAATTAACTGCATTCTATAATTTAGAGTTCATTCCTCAGGATAGTCAGGAGAGAGAAATTCCAGTAGTATATCCATCCTTAGGGCAAGACTTATCTATATTTTTCTACATCTCATTTTATTATAATTGACCTATGGAACATCCATTTTGTGGATCAGCTGTAGCAAATTTAAATAAGCCAATGTCCTACTGAATAGACTCCTCCACTTAACACTCTTTCCCTCCACTTCTCAGTCCACTATCATGCCCTGATCTCAGGGCAGAGATTTAGAGGCAAATATGCAAGGAGAGTCAAGTAATGTGAGCATTTGAAATAATTACTACCTAAATTAGAATTGACGGTAGTGATATTAAATGTCTCAATATAGAAAGTGTTCTAAAATTTATTTATTTATTTTTAAAGATTTACCTATTTTATGCATAAAGAACTGGGGTACAGACCAGAGGTGGGGGAGGTGAGAGGATTCACCAGAGACAGAGTGGGGAACAGAACAGGCAGACTAATTGAAATACACTGCTGAGGGGAACAGCAGGCGAGACAGGAGAGGTCTGCTGCACCATATTGGTAGCTCCCTGGCCAGCCTGGGATGGAACTGGTGCTGCAGAGGCTGTGGATAGCTTCACAGTGCTATGCTTAAGCCCTTGCGCCACCAGGGATGCCATGTTCTAAAATTTAACTTTGAAGAAGCTGTCTAAATTAATGATTCTTTGGGGGAAAAAAATGTTAGTTTATAACTTTGGAAAAGCATTTTTTATTCACCTTTTACTTTACAAAATTATCAAATTTTCTAAAACCATGCCACTTTGTCTGGCGTATACCAAGTATCTTATACAAATTCTTCTTCTAGCATTAAAAAAAATGTGAGTATCTTTGTACAAGGCCATATATGGGACTATTCATTTACTAAGTTTTTTATTAAAGGGCTATTCTGATATGTATATATATTTCTCCATTCTCTGCCATATTTTTATTAGAATTCAAAGTATAGAATAACATAAAAATTAGCATGATTTAGCTTTTCCAAGTATTTATTATATCTTATTTATCTTCTGTTTCTAAATATTTCTTCTTCTCCTCATAATAATGGTGTCTGTGAGGTTATTTTATGAGCATGAAAATGAATGGATTCATCTTAGAGAAACTTTTAGAGATCATTCATTGAAAAACTTTGAGTAATCATAATGACATTCACTACTGATTCATGATTTCTTTTTCTGGATAGTGGGCAAAACACTGCATACAGTGCCCTTAATCATTACAACTCTTGTTGTTTGGTGTTTTCTATTAAAAAATTAGTAAATAAATGGTAAGCAGATGATAAAACTGAAGGTATCACATAATAGGGTTTTGAATTCTCTCTTAATCCCCAAATTGTATTCTTTCTATTCTGAAACACTTCACATAAGTGTCCTGATTCTAATGTTAGCCTAAGAAATTTGATTTTTTCTATCTAATTCCTTTATTTCATTAATTTCTTCTCTCTCTTTTTGTACAGGAAACACAGGTGTGTCTATTGTTTAGTGTAATGTGCAAGTCCTGGGTTCAATGTTATGGTCAGTTAGCAATACTTGGATCCTCAGTGTCAGAGCAGCTGTTAACTACATGAAAGGAAGCATAGTCCAGTACCTGTATCGCACATTCCCTGAGCTCCCAGGAGAATGTCCAATATTTTCTCTTCTGATGCTGACCTACCATGTGCATTATTCCAGAAGTGGATGTGCACTAATAGTTAACAATATTGAAAGGCCAAGATCTTAATTATCATTTTCCCTTTTGGGGGATTGAAATGAATCAAGGGACAAATCTTTTGCTGACCTCTTTGTGAGTTTTCTGGGTCACATTCTCCAAGGAGGCCTGGCTTACATCTGGTAAGTCATTCCCATTGGATAGTCCTTTCATTTATTTATTTATTTTAACTTAAAAACTTTTGGACAATGCTGCTGATAAGCAATTTACAAAGCTTCACTGAGCTAGGGAGTGATAAAAATGATTCCCTGTAGTAACAAATACCTTCTTTTTCATCCTGACCTGAAATTACTTAGGGCATCTAGAGTGATGGGCCCATAACACCTCTGAAAAAAGAGCCACAATATTTATGTCTCAAAGCTGTCATTCATACTCTCTGTGAACAAGTTTGCAGTTGTTTTTTTTTCATATCAAAATCCTGTTCTCAACATGATACTGTCTGCTTCAAGAATCCCAAAGTCAAAAAGTAAGATTACTATGCAGCACTTAGCACATCAATTCTGTGATATTTGAACCCCAAAGGAGGAGAGCAGTCATCAATTAAGAACTGTGGTCAGATAGCAAAGCCAACAAATAAAAAACAGTATTCAGCATCGTTTACTAACTGCTATGATTGATTCAGAGTTAAACTGGAACACACAATGTGCATGATAAAGACAATTTTTTGTTTGTTTGTTTGTTTTTGTTGCTATTGAGGTAAGGAATCCATCTTCCTTTAAATTATGATAACATTCTATTCTACCGTGCATGCAAAGAATCACTTATATGACCTACCCCCAAGCTGAATATTTTAGTACAGGGATTTCACACAAAAACTGCTGGAGCTGCAGATCTTACCTCATAACAAGAGAAAGGGCAGACTTTAAAGTGGGGATAGGGAAGAGAGGGAGGGAGAGTTTCTGTCAGACCTGTGACAAAGCTAAGTAGACTTGACAAAATAGGTCAAAGTTATAAAATATATTTGATCAAAATTAATTTCATTGGTATATCAAATCACAAGATTGCAAAATGATACACATGTCTCATGAATTTGGTGGTTTACAACAGTTATATGTTACCCCATATATTTTAGCCCACACTACCCCCTAATGTGATAAGATTTATGCCAATGTAAATTGGATACATATTAACTCATAGACTTACTTTTGCTAAGAAGGTATAATTGAGTGCCTTGTGTATACCTGCCTTTCAATTTTTTCAAAATTCCAAGCAACTTATTCTCCCCAGGTGGCTTTTGAATCCTGGACTTCATATGTTTACTCTCACGAGAGTTTCACCTTTAGAACTCTCATTTCACGGTTTTGGATTTCTTAGAAGCAGATGATGAGGCAAGAATTTAAGTGTCAATAACTTCTGTGGTGGTTCATCCAAGAGTACATGGGTAAAGGAGCAAATAAATGACAAAGGGAATGAAAAAGTCAAGGTTTGTATAATCAAGTCAGTTACCATTTCTTAGACAATGGAAACTCAGTTTTATGGAAGAAACCCTAGAGATGCTGTAGAATATGCCTAAAGAGATTCATCTTGGGGCCTCCCTGGTGGCCTCGGGGGTTGTCTCAGCACTATCATTGCTTCCGCCTGGGTTCAATTCCCATCCTGGGAGCTAACTCACATATGGCACAACAAACTTTTCCTTTATGGCCCTCTACTCCCCATAGCACTGTATTTCAGTCCATCCACCTGTTCTCCTACCCACTCTGTCTCTGGTGAGTCCTCTCACCCCCTGCGCCACTGGTCCATACCACAGTTCTTCTATGCAAAAATAAATTAAAACAAATTATAATAAAATAATTAAACAACAAAAAAAGAGATCTCAGCCAAAGCTCAAGTATTTACTTATTTAATACCCCCCAGGTACTCAAAGGTCATTATCTCTCCAGCACTTCCCATGGCCATATGCAGTGGTTTAAAGTGTTCCTGAAGCCAGAAAGATGTCTCTGACAGAGGCGGTGAGTGTTGCAATATTAATTTGTAGAAGCAAATGTAGAGAACATATGAAGACTTACTGCCTACTGGGTTCTGATGAGGTATGTTTGTTGTAAAAGGTTTTTTCTAAAACTAATGTGAAAATGAGATTGATATCTATCCATAGAGTATTACATATGGCAAGCATTATGCAAAAGAGGTAACCAGATGAATAGAAGATGCAGAATAACTTCTAGTCAGATGGAGGAAAGCCTAGAACTTATCCCTACTTGATTCTCAAATATTCTCATATCATCTATACATTCCTAATTTTTTTTTGATGTTGTATGTCATCTTTGAGAATTGTTTGTGGTTTAATTCTAGTCTACAATCTTGTAGTTAGATTTCAAGTTGAATTATAATGAGGGTCAAGAGTATAGCTTTATAAAAAAATAGTGTTATCTTTCAGTGAAAAAAATAAAAACTATTTTAATGCCTTTTTTAAATATGACAGAAAATTGATTTTTGTTGTCTGGGCAGTTTTGAACTTGAGCTCATGATGTGTTCCATGGATTAGAAACTTCTTTGATAACTCTGTGACTTTAGCATTTATCACTATATGTTTACTTTTGGTATTTTGAGTGGAGAAGGTGGAATAATATATTCCCTTTGTTGTAAAAGTGTAATAGAAGTTTGATTGGAAGAAAAGATGCCTCAGATCATGCTTGGTAACCTTGCACACATTCCCATAGGTGACCAAAATCAAGGCTTGAATGGTAACTAGTCTGAGTCTCGGAGGGAATCTGTGATCCTCCCCAAAGAGTACGGAGGCCAGGAAAGATCTGCCAGGAGACCATCTCTCTGGCCTCCCTCCCTGTCTCCTCTGGGAGGCTGCCATGAAACACCTTCTCATTTCCTCCTGGAGTCTGAGGAGTCTGGGACTCTGCCCCATCTCCCTCAGAATGGGGCTGCAGGATAAGGAATCCCACATCTCAAAATTCTGTCATCTGGTTCCTCTTTACTGGTACTTGGAACAGGACCGGAAGCCTGGCACCTTTGTTCAGTCTTCTATTTGCTGTAAGTAATTTAAACATGGCTTATTGCAAGTTAGCAGCCAAGTCAGACCATCCTTGGTTTTGACCTTGTCTTCTGTTGTACTTGATAGTTATAACCTCTTGTCAGATAGAGAAAGCCTCCCATTGACCTCCAAGGCCCTCACTAAAAAGCAAAGATTCATTTCCATTGTCCCTACCCATTCATTAAATTCTAGAAAAACTAAAATTTTTGACAGATATATGTATTGGCAGGGGAGAACTTTAATTTTATTGAAATTCTTGAATTTAAACAAGATGTGCATAGTTCTTTTCTCTTCAACAGGAATTACCATTAAAATAGAATGGTTATATTGGTAATATATACTCTGGGAATTCTCCATAATAAAATATTGCTAAATGGAGTTAAAATTCTGCATGGGCATGTGCAGTGAACCTCTTGAGATGAGAATATTGTGAATCAAGGTATTTGCCTACTCATTAACTTGCAGTTACCAAGTCAAAGTATATCTTGAAATAACTAGTCTGCCTGAAAATTCCTTTTAATATAGACATCCAGCTACTTTACCAGACACTAATATTCCATATACAGAGTGCATAATAAAGCATATAGAACTCAGCTTTAGCTCATCATTTAAAATCCTTAAAAATCCCCTAAGTAACCCACCCCTCAAAATAACCTTGCATTATAATCTGAGATATATTTCTACTAATCTTTGTATAAATACATTGATTTAAGCACCTACTATGTATCGAGACATTTAATATTTGGTCATTTATTGTGTATGATATAATCATTACAAAATCTTGTAGACATACGATATTGTTTACTTTTTTTTATACAAGGAAAGAAACCAAAGATATTAGGTATCCTGGACAAGGCCCTAAGCTAATCAATGGTATAGGTGTGATCCATAACCTTGACATTGAGCTTGTGTTCTTTCAACTTGACTTTCAACTTGTGTTCTTTCAACTTTTTCCAATATATGCAATGTCCAGGCTCCATATTGCTTTGATTGAATGTTTATTTCATCATCCTTATAATAGTGAATCAACTTATAATAATTTAGTATTAGTTGCATAGAAAAATTACGAAAAAATTCTCATAATTAAAACTTCCTAGTAATTAAATGTATTTGGTTTTCAAAAAATGCAAAGATCTGGAGTACGGAATAGCTCCCCCAGTCAGTGAAGACTGGCATTCTGTCACTGGTATGACAAGAATGAACATTTGTTAAAATGGATGGCTGTATTCTTGCTACATCTAAACCACTGATGATTAAAATTAGACTCTAATCATCTCTTGGTTATATTGTATTTCTGTTAGAGACATGGAAAACAAATTTTTGTAGTAACCTTTATGCAAAATGCTATGTTTTAAAAGAATCCTAGTGGGTTTATGGTTTTAAATGACATTACAGTACATTAAATTTAATGACATTACATTTAAAAAGCTACGTGTACGCATTATTTCACCAAATAATTTATTGACTCATTAAAATAATCCTTACAATGGATGTACTAGGGGTCTGGAATTCTAAAATGAGTGAATCAGATATAAACTGTCCTCTAACAACATATATGAGGCTAAGCATTTACCCAGGAATGATTGTTGTCACTTCTTGAAATATTTCTGGGCCTCTGGTTTTGAAATTACCCCCAGATTTTGGGGTGCTACACTTACATGGTTACCAGTTTTCATGTCAGATCTCTGTCCTTTGAGATGACATTCCAATTTCTCTGATTAATAGTCTTTCTCAAGTATTTGGGAAGTCTGGCAGAGGTCAGCTACATGCTGCAAATTATAGATGGGAAGATATCACCTCCTTTTCCTGAACAGATCAGAAGATCATACATTTGATCCTTCATCTTGAGGAAGGACTCCTATTGAGTAGTGATGTAGGAAGGTAATATTCACTGAGTGGATGGCTCATTTAAGTCGAGGTGGCAATAAATAAGGTGATAGATTTCACAACTTGCCTGCCTGTGGTTTGTGTCTAAGATGTGAATTTACATATTGGTGAAAAATCACTAGAAATAATGACTTTGGAAAAGGAGAGCACACTATTCAACACACATTGACCTGTATAAAGAAAGCTTCAGAAAAAAAATGTGCTGAGGGGCCTCCCTGGTGGCACAAGGGGTTAAGAACCACACTATGAAGCAATCCTTAGCCTCTGCAGCACAAGTTCGATCCCTGGCCGGCCAGGAAGCAACCCACATGGCGCAGAAGACCTCTCCTGTCTCTCCTGCTGTTCCCTTCAGCAGTGTATTTCAGTCAGTCTCCTTGTTCTGTTCCCTGCTCTGTCTCTGGTGAATCCTCTCCCACCCCCCACCCTGCATCTCTGGCCTGTACCCCAGTTCTTGTATGCATAAATAAATAAATCTTTAAAAAAAAAGAAAAAAAAGAAAAAAATGTGCTGACATTTTGAACAAAGCTAGTCACAAATTTGCTTTTTCTCAAGGAGGTAATCTCCCTATAGATGAATATTATTTTATAGTAAATAAGTTCTATAAGTCATTCAGTAATTAATTATACTGAGGCTCTTCTTTTGAAGAACTAGATGAGGAACATTTCAAAAAGACGTCAGTGGCCTCTCTGGAGGCCTAGGAGTTAAGTCTCAGCACTATCACCACTACAGCCTGAGTTTGATCCCCAGCCAGGAAGCTGACCCACATAGCACAGCAGACCTTTCCTGTCTCGCCAGCTGCTCCCTTCAGCAGTGTATTTCAGTCAATCTGCCTGTTCTGCACCCCACTGGTGAATCCTCTCACCCTTTGTACCTCTGGTCTATAGCTCAGTTCTTCTTCAAACAAAAATAAAAAAAAAAAAAAGAAGAAAAGAAAAAAAAAATCAAAGCAATGACAACTGTTAGAAAAAGTAAATAAGAGTCATTTGATTTGAGCTTGTTATACACACTGGGTTGGCTCTGAATACTGTCTTGTTTGAGCCTCTCAGTCATGGTGTAGATATGTATTATAATTATTTCATAATATACCGTGGTTTATAAAGTAAACTTGTTTCTTGAAAGTTATACAGTTAGCCCATTGAGCTTTCACATTAGAATTCAGGACAATTTGATTCTAAATCATGATATTTCTTTATCATAAATGCTGTTTGATATGTAAAGAGAACTCATTTCATATGTAGATATTCTTAGAATTTGCTTCCAGAGGGTTCATTACTGTGCACAGACACCATATACAAAGTTAACAAGGTGAGTACTAAAGATTTATTTTTCCACTTCTTGCCTGCATGTCTTTGTAAATTTTCATTATATTTCTAAATAATATGCAGGCTAAATATCAGAAATAAGAAAAAATATTTCATATGCAAACATGTTCAATCTTGGAAGTAGAGACTGGTTTCATTTCTGAAGAAATGTGAAGAATAATGTTAAATGCTTTAAAAATTGAAGCTGTCCTTTTGAAATGCATCACTCCCTCCAGCTTTCAGGTTGTCATCTATTCTCTGACAAACAGCCTGATTCCCACATGACATATTCAGATCCTGCCCCGTGCAGACTCACTTATGGTGACTCCATTTAAGTCACACTTTCTAAATTGTTCCCAAGAGAGCCCGCTCAAATAGAGCGAGGCTGTCCGCATTAGCCAGCACACAGTCGGGCTGAGTGACAGGCATGTTTAATCTGTTCATTTCAAATCTGCAAAGCACTTTGTCTCTTAATGATGCACTGCCTGCAAAATCACGTCTGCAAGCCCTTTTATTTGGCTTCCTCCAGAACTGGACATCTTAGGCAGGGCAAAGAGACAGAGTGCTATGAAGCCCAGATGCTGAGCTTATCTCTTTCTGAAGATAGCCACTGAGGTCCGGGCATTGGCCCCAGATAATGAGACCAGGGTTCAAACTACTTTGTCCAGAATGTAAAGCCCTTTACAATCTGTTCAAGGTCATGTTGTGTTACACTCCGCATGACTCTTCCACACCACGAGACTTCATCATCGTCCCTCTCTCCTGTTATACTTTCTCA